GAGCAAGAGAAGATTGATGTTAAAAAAATATGAATCCTGTCATATAGAGAATGATGAAGAGAAATTATATTGCAATTATATGTTATAGTAATCCAAAATTATTTTTCGATGATATCATTTTCATATATTTTTTAATATTTATCTTTGATAAATAAAATGCTAAAGAATTTATGAAAGATTTGGAATTAAATATTTTAATTTTGATATAATATAAATTAAAATATTTTTTGAAGTATGTTTTCAATTATAATCGAAAGTGGAAAATAAATTTTTGTAATATTATATCATTAATTTATTTAAAATAATTTATTTAAAAAAATTTTATATTTATACTAGCTATATTATACGAAATATATAAATATATAATCTAATAATCTAGAATTAAAAAGTAATAAATTATCGAAACACATTGTGCAAGTAGAAAATCAATCATCTTATTCTAACAATCGCTATGACGATAATTGCAGTGAATGATCATAAATTTTTAATACACTTGAAATGCAAATTTCTCTTTTCACTGACTTAATCTATGTTTATGATTGATGAATATTATATATCGAACATGTGAATTATATAGCAAAACATAAATTACATTACACGTCTCGTTCTCAATGATAGTATTGTAGGTTTTTAGCGTTTGTGACAATTCTTTTTATTTGTCTTTATTCTTTTTTAATCCATTTCAGATCAGAACACAATTCTTATACACATACGTAACTTAAAACGAACGTAATTAAAATTATTGTAAAATTGTTCGTGCAAATTGATCGTTAGCTCTTTGAATGGGTCTGTTATAAAATCTAAAAAAGGTCTGGAAACTAACTGTCCATCCGACGCTCTGTTTTACAGAGATGTTAATATCCCAAAAATCAAGTAGTATTCCTTTTCTGTCGATCGTAATTTTATTTTACTAACGTGAAATCACTGAGAGCTAATATAAAATAATAACTCTAATATATAACGGAGAATCGGGTTACATCATATGACGAATGCAATTTTGATCATGTACGAGACGAAATTATTCCATCGAATAGTAATCGACGTAAACTGACATAGATTTTGCTGTAAATTTTTTTTTTGGCATGAGAATGCTGACTGGACCGAACGTTCCTCAAACGTGACTTTATTACAAAGTGCAAATGCTTGGCGATGCGATGCATCGTTAACGTTGGAGAATAATGTTGTACGCTAAGAAATATGCATAGATAAGATTTTTACAATATGTATTTTATCTTATATATTGCATATTTGCTTTTGTCGATTTTAAATTATTTTTAAATTATTCACTCTTCCAAACTAATTTTCTCCTAGTTTATAGTTTTTAAACTTCTTTGATGTTTGAGGTTGATATAAAAATTCATAAATCAAAAACTGACCAACTCAGATTTTTAGCAAGCTCGTAGCATGTATACGATATCGTGTATCTTGCTTTGAAATTAATTTTTGTGATTATCAAGTACCTGAAATATTTCACAGTTAAGCTGCGATTTTGCAAGTTATCAAGTATCTAAAATTAGTTGAAAATTTTTGTCGGGAACTTTGACTAATCAATTTCTCTTAACATCGTTTGCAGTTCGAGACCCGTTTCAAAGCAAAGAGATATCTCCTACCTAACTCAGTCAGGACCTTGGCGGTACATCTCGTTATTCGTCTCCTGCGGTGGGCCCAAGGGAACAATGCGGTGCTCGATGACGTGATCGACCTTTCGGTCAGCTACGCGCCGTGACCTCGTTCGAGTGGCTGGCCATTCACTTCTTCGCGACCGAACATCGTCGTAAACATCAAACAAACTCGAAGAGCGCGACAAGATACCGAAACGAAATCGAGAATCTCTTTTTTTTTTAAAAAAGTCAAAAGAAGAAGTAAAGTTTTATGGAAAAGAGCACTTCTCCAGATATCGATTCATGGAGGGGAGAGAGAGAGAGAGGATGTCAACATCATGAGGATATCTCTATAACGACGGATCATACACTTGACAGGACCAAGGGGTGAACAATTGAGATGCACGGAAGCGAAATTGTTTGACCAAATGATTTGCTGACACCCGAAGACGAGAGGATGTAAGAGGAGGAATTCTGGAGTTATGACAGACGCGTGAGGAACGAAACGCTGACGACGTCGCGCGAATCATTGAGACGTGTCGGTAAAAAATTCCACGCCGGCAAAGCGAACACTTTTTCTGCTACATTTGACAAGGGAACGAGCGGAGAAACGAAATACAGAGGATCCAACAGCGAGACTGAAGTTTCATCTCAGATTTCAGAGGAAAGGGAGATATGAAAATCTTCAGGGGGCGAACGTGAAACTATGAAAATCGATGGGCGAAAGTCAAGACGAAGATTCAAGATCCGATCAAATTTTTTTATTAAATGTAAGAATTAGACGCAACGATCTGAAACCTGACAAACGTGGCTGACTCGGTTTAAATAAAGGTGAATATTAAAGAATAGAGAAAGCGATGATAAATCACTTGGTCTTCTTGAGATCCCCCTGCGTGTGAATTCCAGCGTGGAGTTGACGTGAGGCAAGGATCACACATTGGATGTCCGCGCGGCGTGAATTTCCGCGAATCGGGAAGGTCATTCGCGATCGCCGCAGTGACCGCGCGCGGACATCCGCGTTCGCGTTCGCGACGCTATCATTGCGAGAATCATTCCGCCGTTTTCCCCACTCGTCGACGGCCACATGACTTGACGATTACCTCTTTCTCCTCCCGCTGCTGCTCGTTGGCCGAAGGCGGCGGCGGCAGTGGCAGCGACAACGTCACGACGACGTTGACGTGGACGATAGCGACGGCGAGGAGTCAACGGCTGACAACGCGGCGTGGTGGAGGTTCGGTACTTAAAACGAGTGACACGCGCCGCCAGCGATTCAGTCGTTTGCAAGCTGTTGGTCCGCAGGTGCGAGACGCGCGTGGGTGCCTGCGAGACGCGCGCGCGCGTGTGTGTGGATGTGTATGTGTGTATGATTGCGTTTTCCTGGATCGTCGTCTCGCGCGTACACGTGCGCGGTCTGTAAGAAAAGGGGCTTCCCACACAAAGATTTCACGCAGACACAGGAAGGGATCGGCCGAGGCTAGTCGCAGCAGGGAACAAAGTTGAGCGATACGTAAAGTAATTCTGTTAGAGGTTGTGGGTCCTTCTTCTTTTTCGTTCCGGCAACCGTGGTGCGTGACGACCGTGGTGTTTGTCGTGGTGGCGCGGTGTTACCATCGTGTCACTGCTGCCCTGGCAAGCGGTGGCGACGGTGGCGGTGGTGTTGGTGGTGGATATATATATATATATATATAGTGATATATATATATATATATATATATATAGAGTAGTGGATGATAACGGTAACCCCGGGGGTGGCGAAACTGGAGCAGCCGGTGGCGATCGTCGTCGTCGGTGCAGCGGAGGAGCTATCATGTGCACGCGGCGGATTTTCGGACTGGCGGTCGTGGCCCTGCTGACTCTCGGCGGTCGAGCGCGCGCGTACACCAACCAGTGGGCGGCACACATCGATGGAGGAGAGGAAGCGGCCAGGCGAGTCGCCGAGGATTATGGATTTCGCTATTTGGGCAAGGTCAGCGTCACGAATCCCCCCCCGCTGAGAAGAACTAGATTTTTTTTTCCTTTTAATTTTTTCTTTTCGTGCTCGTGCGTTTCTCGATGATCACGGAAAATCTTTTTTTGCACGACCAATACGGTTCTACAGTTCCACTTTTGGCGATAATTTTAATTTAATTTATATTTATATTGTTTAATTAACCAACCGTGAAAATGGGACGGTTATGAAATCGGATTATTGAGGAATAATGAGTATTATTAAAATGAGATTAATTAATTAATTGAAATACGTTTCAGTTTATGTAATGTGACGTTTTTCTTTCAAATGTAATTTAACGGAAAAGTGTAATTAAAAAGTAGCAATATCAAATATTTGAATATTAATTGATTCGTCGAAAATCGAAAGTGCTGCGAAGCATGCTATGGATATAAACAAGAATGATATCATCACGAAGGTGAATTATACAATGCGCTTGAGATGAGGATGAGATTTAATGGCACGTTCTTCCAGCTAACAATCGAATAAACGATCTGCGCCATTTAATTCTTACGGCACTCGACTCTTATTATACACCATCCAGGTTAAAATTACTAAAATATTCACCTGACCTTATCAAGTGCGGTAAATTTGAATGCAAATTCGAATTAGAGAATTCTATTCTCGTGTAGAATAACTTGATATTGTGATGAGGAAAACCGCTTTGTACTTTAATTAAATTCTGTCTCAATCATTCGTGAAGTTAAGAAGTACAGAAATCGCTTAAATTGATCTCTCTCACAAATTGGATATGCGAATTAATGTTTAAAGAAGAAACATATGCCGCAGTGAGCGGTTTAAATATGCAATTAACGATCTGCAAATACGCTTTCGCTGAATTTGTTCACCGATATGTTATCTCCGCTTCCAATAGAGATATTTTAAAGAGAAACGTAATCCTCATCCGATTACATTTATAATCTTTAATATTTTTATTCCTTCAGCATTTTTATCTCAAAATCGAGAAATATACGGAGATTTATCCCTTTCGTTCTGGTAATATGCTGGTCTCAAAGGAAACTTTCGTACCATATGATAACGTTTAAGGTCGAAGTTAGCGGAGAATTGAGCTCAATACATTTCCAACCGATAGATTTCATACGGGATCTAATATGATACTTATATTTTGCTCCGAGTTAAATAGCATATACCTGATAACTTCTAAATCGAATTCCTCGGAGTTCTATTATCTCATTTAGTTTCGTTTGTCGATATGATTCTTATACCAAATGAACGCAATTGACATTTTTTATAATTTTCTTTTCTTATCATTTTCTTCTACAAAATGGGCCAAGGCCCATTTTTTTCTACGTTTTTTCTCGAAAAACACAGCCGATTTTTAATGGCATTTGGCTTTTCATCATTTTTCGCGATTCAGAGGAAACATGTCGATTTCGAAACGGACATCGAATCCATTGCCGTATTTTTCATGCCTTCTGTGATCACAATGGAAAAATTTCCCGTTGCTCGTTCACGCCGTGTCATCACGCTCTCTTTTTACCACGAGACGTGCTATCGCGAGAAGATCCATATAATGCACTTCGTTGATCCGTTACGTAATAATTCCCGGATTGTAATTTGTTCGGAAAATTATATAACTCCATTTGAGAGAGAAATTTGATTTTATTTTTCGATTACATCTTTCTCGTGAAGCAGACATGTCATTTAGCGCTTAATCGCACATCAGCCCATACGCAGAAAGTCTGTGATAATTTTATTTGGTTTACTTGATGATAATCCTATTTTGTATGCGTATGCATATAAGTGAGTATGGAATATATTTTAACATTCATAAACATATATGGGATGAAATTTACGTGGATTTTAATATTTTTTTAAAAGGAATTCGAATATTCGAAAACTTTTCTCTCTCATTATAAGATTATGTATTATATTTACGCGGATTTTTTACGCGGTGTTTTTGAAAGGAATCAGAATATTCCATCTACGTGTTAAAATTCTTACTACAATCGTATTCAGAGCCGCTCATAGAACGAGGTGCTTTTCACACCAAGATATTACATCGCGCTGTACTCGCGCTGCCTATCAGACAAGATAACAATCCAATCCTAGTTATAACCGACTCTCCTCGAGAAACAGCCGATCGCTGACGTAAGCCGTGGTGACGTGTGCCTCTGTTTCAGTGACCGTGAAGGCCGCGATGTAGGCTTCGTTGTCGCAGTTGTCACAGACGGAAATTAACCTCCGCGACAATCTCCTTTCTGCCTAAATAGCTCGCGACGGAGAATCGAACTCGTTATCTTCGGTTTCCACGTCGGTTCTTCTTCAATCGAGCACAAACGATAGACTTCAATTTGCGGAAAGTTGCGTACGGCGCACCGTTGAAATATCGATGAAATATCGCGCTCGCGATAAAATGGTTTAGTTAAGAATATTCCGAATTTTAGATTATCGAAAGAGAGAGAGAGAGAGAGAGAGAGAAGGGGAGGAGGGAGGGAGAAAGAACTGCGAAATATTTTATTTCTTTCGATATAAGTTTACATTACGCTTGCGATTTTATTGTTGTTTTTGTTAAGCTTGACATTGGATGATCTTATCTTGGAGATAAAACCGGTTATACTATTCTCTAGTCTAAAGGCAACAGGATAAACATATATTCCTATATGTTCTTGTTCTATAGTCATTTATGTAATAAATTATGCTAACAATATCAATAGATCGATTACTGAACAAAAGGTTAAATAATACAGTTATTAAAATAATACAGTTATTAAAATTTATTTTATGTATTAACTAAGTAATATATAGTTGGTTGGCAATAAAAATAAAATTCAAGATAAAAGCTTGAGAACGGTGCGGGAAGGATAAAAGTGATAATCCGAAATCTTTTTAATAATTCGAGAGATCTATATTCGGTCAAAGATATTACGAAAGATGATCATATGGTTTGCTATGCAACTCTCCGTTCGCTCATTTTATTCGCTCGAATGCGCAATCCTTCGACTTGACAAGACAAAATCTCCTCGTAAGACAGTCTTACGACAACAAGAAATAGTTATCGAATTTTTTAATGATTCATAATCTAATAATTAATTACGATATATCTAAAATTTTGTATCTCAAACTATTCTAGCATAATTTTGATTAATTTTGGCATTGATTATTACATAATTTTTCTAACAATTAACAGATGTTTCAACCTTCATATTTATCTTCGTATTTTATTTTCATTTATAATTTTATTTTTGTTCTCTTTATATATTGTGAAGCGGCGGAAGTGCGATAAAGCAGCCTTGTTTGTAATTATGCGCATACATATATATGTGATATCGATGATTTTTAAGATTGAATAACACAACAGGATGTTGCAAGGGGAGATAAATGCGCACGCACGCATATATTTTGCTGGCGCGAAAACTTTTCTGCTCATGCTAGTCCAATGGAAAATCCATGCCATTTAAATGATTCGTTCGATCACGTTATCTCTATTTTTATTTTCCTTTTTTCTATTTTCCTTTTTTTCCATTGCGCTGACATGCGGATGACTCTTTACATTGCATCGACAGACGAACGACACTCACCATGCGTAAACCATGCTCTCACAGAATATCGCCGTAACGTGAAATCGCGTTCAAAATTGTAAAATGATAAACAGAATTTGAAAACGAAAATTCACGGAATTGCGAAATTTTAGTCGTATTAAACTCTCGTGCGGCATATACGGACACATGGATTTTCCGTATGTGTTAGCTGTTCCGTTACGCGCCAAAGTGGCCTCGAATGTTTGCCGATTTAATTTTGCAAGCGGCTACAATCACTTGCGAAACGTCGAATGATCGCGACCGTACGTTTATGAACGCCTCGATAATAGGACGAATACACATGCATATGGGATGCTCTTGTGACTTAGTATGTTGGTCTCTTGTTACCTCTCGTGAACTTCTAGTTTTCCACGAAAAGCTTACACGTGCTGAATATTTTTCAAGATAAAAGCAGCAACATATATTGCTGATTATGCAAAATGCATGAAACATGTGCAATAAACAGGACAATTTGTAAAAGCGAAATATTATTCACCGAAATCATGAATACTAAAGAATTTGATATTTTAACTGCATATTTTTTGTTTTATAGATAATTATAATTATTTTTATTTATTATTGATTTTTGTTAAATTGATAATTCTTCGTTTGGTATATTATTTATAATGTTGTCGTTTATATTTCGCGATTTTTTTATCTTGAGATCTTTAATGTTGCAAATACACTTTACAGATAACGTAATAGTTGACCTCGAGTCGATATTTCTAAGAATCGATATAGTTTTGCTCGTTTTGATAATAATGACAGATAATAATTAATCTTTTTTTTATGTTTTGATTAGGTTAATCTGTTGAAGTTCCTCGTAATTGCTTTTATTTATCAATCGCACAGTCCTTGAGAAAAAAAAAGAAATTGCGATATCGTGCGTCACATTCAGTCAAGTTCACATTAATGTGTATTGCATGTATCATGAATATATACGATTAGTGTTAAAACCGGGAATAACGTGCCACTGGGAATACCCTGTTTGAATTAAAACATGAAAAAATCAAATCAGAAAGATTATAATAATCCAAATTTGAATTATCTCATTTTTGACATTTGAGTTGCAAAAATATATTTGTACAAATATATATGCATGTTTTTATTTTATATGTTTTTATGTTTTTATGTTTTTTATTTATTTTTTTAAATCTTGAGATATTATTACTTTTAATTTAATTATGTTTAAAATTATTCTTTCAGACATTCTTGTAAAAGAATTTTTCTGTGATATTTTTATTAACAGGAATATTGTTGAATACGTTTCGCGTATGCTACCTCTAATATTATCTTTATTTTTAATTTGATTTTCCTTTTGATTTATAAATTTATTAAGTTTTATTTATTATTTATTTTTATAAATAAAAATTATTATTAAAACGTTTCATAAAAGTTATCTGAAAAAATTTTGAATCCGGAAGAAAAAAAGAAATC